CAATGGGGATAGGATAAATATAACAAAGGAACAGAGTCAAGCCATAAAAAGACTGGAAGGAAATACTGATTTAGTAATTAAGCCATCTGATAAAGGGGGACATATCGTAATCATGGACTGTGAAAAATATGAACAGATGTGTGAAAATATTCTTAGCAATACGGCCTGGTACAGACAAATCACAAAACAAGATATTGATACCTTCCAAATAGAACTGATGGCGATTATCCATGAGGCATACATGAAGGATTTGATAAACAAGCAAACTCTCGAATATCTAGAAGTCAAACATCCTAAATTATCCTGTTTCTATGCTCTACCAAAAATTCATAAAAGTCTAAGAGATCGTCCGGGACGCCCTATCGTTTCAGGAATAGGGTGCCTGTCCGAACCAGCAAGCACTATAGTGGATGGCTACCTACGACCACATGTAGTATCTCTCCCCTCTTATTTGAAGGATACGGTGGAACTCCTGAAACTGGTGGAAGATATGATGATTTCAGACAATTGCTGGCTAGTGGCTCTGGACATAGAAGCCCTATACAACAGCATTCCACATCACAAAGGAATAGAAACCATTGGTGAATTTCTGGGTGAAAGACCTCAAGCACAATGGGCATATAACAACTTTATAATTAACCTATTGCAATACGTCTTAAAAAAGGTTTTCATTTTTAAGGACACCCACTACCTCCAGGTGCAGGGGGTAGCGATGGGCACTTGCTGTGCCCCATCGTATGCGAACCTGTACCTGGGGGCTGGGAGAGAGCTCTCTTTTCTGACGAGCATATTCAATCCTGGTTAGACTGTATTCTAACCAGGATTCCCTGACCTCTCTCCGGAGACCCTTGCTCGCAGGCGACAACTCAGACTCCTCTTGAAGTCGCAGGAGAGGGCACCTCAGTGGAGCTCTAATCCGTGGTCCCATGCTTGTTGAATGCGGCCAAATCTCTCATACCGAGATGCTGGGGATCCGCTAAGGTTCCCTCCCTGCAGGACTGGTTTCGGAAAGTGGATAACATCAAACTGATGGAGGAACTATTGTACACCTCCAAGGACTCGTACTCTACATTCTATAAGAAATGGGCGTGCTGGTTGGCCTTCCAGGACTCTGCTACTTACCGTTCCCACTTGCTTGACATAGAGAAATGATCTGAGATGGACAACGAGGGTGCGAGACTCGCCCTGGTAAAAGTTGATATGTACCTACTCCTGAGAGGATATCACGTTTGGGGGTCCTAGGTTTATCTGTATTGTTTATCGGTTTCTTTTGTGGCCACATAGCTATACGTACAGGATAACACCCAGCCTGAACATACACTGTGAGAGTGCGCACAACGGGATAACGCTTAAGCCTTTGCATATATAGCATCTATGGAACCCTAGAGCAAGTTCACAAACACCCCTCCTCACCCCATCCTGTCTAGTCTCCCCCCCCATTCCTTCCCCCCTACCCGCGTCATTGTCTTTCCCCTTGTTAGTGTCTGTCTGACATGCGGGGCAGTGACTCACTAAATACTGTTATGTATTGATTGCACTGATAATCTACCCCCTGTTATTGTATTGTGTTTTATGTATATCACCTGAAAAATCCAATAAACCGAAATAATTTAAACAAAATAGATACAATTCGGGATCAGATCGCCACTATCCAGTCACCTTCCCCTAATAATGTACCAGACCCACCACCACACTTGTTACTTTCCTCTTTTCACCCTGTCACCACAGAGGAGGTTTCAAAGCTTTTCTCTGACACCCACCTCACCACTTGTCCCCTGGACCCTGTTCCACTCTTTTCTGACGAGCATATTCAATCCTGGTTAGACTGTATTCTAACCAGGATTCCCTGACCTCTCTCCGGAGACCCTTGCTCGCAGGCGACAACTCAGACTCCTCTTGAAGTCGCAGGAGAGGGCACCTCAGTGGAGCTCTAATCCGTGGTCCCATGCTTGTTGAATGCGGCCAAATCTCTCATACCGAGATGCTGGGGATCTGCTAAGGTTCCCTCCCTGCAGGACTGGTTTCGGAAAGTGGATAACATCAAACTGATGGAGGAACTATTGTACACCTCCAAGGACTCGTACTCTACATTCTATAAGAAATGGGCGTGCTGGTTGGCCTTCCAGGACTCTGCTACTTACCGTTCCCACTTGCTTGACATAGAGAAATGATCTGAGATGGACAACGAGGGTGCGAGACTCGCCCTGGTAAAAGTTGATATGTACCTACTCCTGAGAGGATATCACGTTTGGGGGTCCTAGGTTTATCTGTATTGTTTATCGGTTTCTTTTGTGGCCACATAGCTATACGTACAGGATAACACCCAGCCTGAACATACACTGTGAGAGTGCGCACAACGGGATAACGCTTAAGCCTTTGCATATATAGCATCTATGGAACCCTAGAGCAAGTTCACAAACACCCCTCCTCACCCCATCCTGTCTAGTCTCCCCCCCCATTCCTTCCCCCCTACCCGCGTCATTGTCTTTCCCCTTGTTAGTGTCTGTCTGACATGCGGGGCAGTGACTCACTAAATACTGTTATGTATTGATTGCACTGATAATCTACCCCCTGTTATTGTATTGTGTTTTATGTATATCACCTGAAAAATCCAATAAACCGAAATAATTTAAACAAAATAGATACAATTCGGGATCAGATCGCCACTATCCAGTCACCTTCCCCTAATAATGTACCAGACCCACCACCACACTTGTTACTTTCCTCTTTTCACCCTGTCACCACAGAGGAGGTTTCAAAGCTTTTCTCTGACACCCACCTCACCACTTGTCCCCTGGACCCTGTTCCCTCCCCACTACTTCAGTCACCCTCTTACGCTATCCTACACTCTCTTACTCACATTTCCAATCTTTCCCTCTCTACTGGCATCTTTCCCTCCCCTCTAAAGCATGTGTTGGTCACCCCAGTACCCAAATCTTAACAATCTCAGACCAATCTCCTTACTCCCATTTACCTCCAAACTCCTAGAACACCTTATCTACAACCGCTTGAGCCGCCACCTCACTGATAACCTATTCTACCCCTTACAGTCTGGCTTTTGCCCCCTACACTCCACTGAAACCACCCTCCTAAAACTCTTTAATGACTTACTAACTGAAAAAAACAACTACTCCTTACCCTTACTATGAGACCTTTCTGCTGCTTTTGACACTGTTGACCACCCGCTGCTCCAAAAAAAAAACTCCATTCGCTCCTCCTACCTTCTGCTATCTAAGTGCTCCTTTAGTCTTAACTACAAATCTAACTCCTCCTCCTCTCCTCTTTCTGTAGGGGTCCCCCAAGGCTCTGTACTTGGACCCCTTCTCTTCTCTATCTACACCTCCTCCCTTGGTCAGTTAATAACCTCACATGGCTTCCAATATCATCTCTATGCTAATGACACTCAAATGTATCTTTCTACTGCACAACTTGCCTCCTCATTGTCCTTGCGTGTCACTAATCTACTAACTGAACTGACATATCAGTCTTGATGTCACAACATTTCTTAAAACTCAGTATTTCAAAAACTGAGCGCTTCATATTTCCTCCCGCCCGTGCACCTTCCCCCAACTTTTCCCTTGAAATTGATAACACAACTATTCAACCCTCCCCCCATGCCAAGGTGCTAGGTGTCATCCTTGACTCAGACCTCACCTTTCTTCCCCACATGCAATCACTATCCAAATCTTGCCGCCTTCATCTTGGTAACATCTCCAAAATACGCCCCTTCCTCACCAATGAAACCACAAAGCTACTCATCCACTCATTTGTTATCTCTCGTCTTGACTACTGCAACTCCCTCCTCGTTGCCCTTCCTCTACACAGGCTATCCCCCTTCAGTTTATCATGAATGCTGCTGTTAGACTCATCTACCTAACCAACCGCTCAGTGTCTGAAACCCCCCTCTGCCAATCTCTCCACTGGCTTCCAATAGCCCAATGGATAAAATTAAAAATATTAACAACCACTTACAAAACCATCCACAACTCTGCTCCTGGATAAATCTTAAACCTTGTCTCAAAGTATCAGCCTAACCATCCCCTCCGCTCTTCCAAAGACCCCCTGCTTTCTAGCTCCCTCGTAAACTTCTCCCATGCTCACCTCCAGGACTTCTCTAGAGTCTCTCCCATCCTCTGGAACTCTTTACCCCAACCTGTCCATCTATCTCACACTCTGATTGCCTTTAGGCGATCCCTTAAGACTCATCTCTTCAGGGAAGCCTATCCCACCTCAAACTAACCACTGAACCATCACGTTCTCAAACAATTCATCCCCACACAGCTACTGCCTCATGTACCACTTGCCCCTCCCTTTTAGACTGTAAGCCCTCAGGGGCAGGGCCCTCCTTGCCATCTTGTCTGAAATTGTATTGTAATTGTAATGTCTTCCTTATATTGTAAAGCGCTGTGCAAACTGTTGGCACTATATAAATCCTGTCTAATAATAATAATAATATGACCCCAAATATGGTTTATTGCTGAGTACTGTGTCTAGCAACAACACGAACAACAACAGAAATTGGACAATTTGTTGAAATACTACATCTTACCTGTCTGTCCTATGCAGTGGCACAAGTGAGCATAAATCTTTCTTGTGCCAACTTCACACCTCAATTCAGGCCTTCTCCAGGTTCCCCTCATCTTCTACCTCCTCCCCCTGCAATCAGCTTCTGCTTTTCCTCACATTCTTCCTGACCCTGTTAAGTTACAGCTTTACCTCCCTCCATCCCTTACCTCTCTCACAAATGGCTATCAGTCTGCCTTTCATCCAATCATGATCTCTTTATCCTCCTATTCTTTCCCCTTTTCCCCCACAGTCCACAATCAGTTAATCTACCTTGTAGAAGTGGATTGTTTTAGGCTTAACTGTTATGTTTGTCTCTAAGTGATTAGTTTTAATTATAAAACATGTTTGCTGGTATTACATAAACTATTTTTGTGGTGTTGTTTCTTTGGGTCCCATCTTTCTGCATTGCTATAAAAGGCCAATTCTATTTTTAGATTCATGTTGGATCTGCATGTGGACAAAGTAAAAAGCTATGTTACCATAGTGACCAAAGTTGCAAAGGAGGCAGGATTCACAACTACTGGAAACATAGACTGGAAGAGAGATCACATTGCTACTTTTGAACGTTTGGAGGACTGCGTAGAGGAGAAAAACGGACTATAAAAGTATTACGTGCATGGTATTGGTCTTACATGTTGAGGTTTTTTGCTAATGTGTTCCTTTAAACCCATAAGATGAATAATATTTTAACATTTAAAGACTTGCATATAGCACAGCTAATAGACCAAAGACACTTCTTTTTTATGCATAGTAAGACCAGATATTCTTTGTGTCATTATTTCAGCCAGCTTGCAAGAAAATCTTTAACAAAAGGCTGCCACTGATGACCTTCAAAAACTGCTAGTTCATTTGGCTTTTTTGTACATTTATTGGTTTAATTCGATAGAGACTTAAAACAAGAAAAAATAAAAATACGTTCTTGCGTTGCTTGTCACATGTTTGTTCTGGTTCAGTGATTTTAGAAAGAACTGAAGCCGGAGATAGCAAGGTGACTAGAATTTAGGTTGGCAATGGCAGCCCATTTATTTCTATTGTAAGAGATTTAATGTAAAGTTGTATAGTCCCAGAGCACAGATCAGCACACACAAATATGCTATTAAGGAAACTCTTGCCCATATATAATTGAAGTATTCAAGATTGAAGTGAACCTTGCACTGCAAGCATGGTCCTCTTAATTACTGTAGGGACCCCTTCCCTATTCCAAATGCTGCCCTAAATTACTGAAAACAATCTGTAGGGTGAAAAGCATTGGTTGATAGACTTCCTTAAAAACCCTTCTGTACTGTGGAGGGTGATGTCACCATTTTTTCAGACAAAATCTTAGAGATTGCTGAGTATTCCAAATCTCACAAGATCACACTCCAATGCAGTACAGATGCATCTTCTTTCTGGGCCTAGGCACTGCAGACAACACCCTGAAGATACTCTAATCTCAAATTACTTTAGTTATTTAGAGAAAACACAAAATGGCAAAGGGATTATAGCATTCAGGATTTACAATTTACATACCAGACAAAACAGTTCTAATAAAATTACAAGAAGTTAATTACATTTAAAACATACTTTTGGTTAAAAATTACTGAATACATGCTTACAAAACAAAAGTGATTTATCATATTACATGTTTTAGACCACCATATTGAACCAACATAGTATTGTTATAAAAAGTCCCTTTTCACATCAACCTGTGTGGTCATTGTGTTTTAGTAGAATATCTCCACTTCCTGATGGCCAGCAGTAAAAGGGTTTTACAGATTTTACAGGTTTTACAAATAAAATATAGTAGACAGTGTACAGAAAATGCGTATCATAGTTTGGGAATGTCTTCATTGATTAAATATGGCGGATATGATGATAAATTACTTTTGTTTTTAAGCATGTATTAATGATTTTTTAACCAAAAGTCTGTTTTGGTCATAATAAAGTTCTTGTAATTATATTAGGATTGTTTTGTCTAGTATGTCAATCCTGAATCCTATAACAAATCCTTTGCCATTTTGAATTTTTCGCTAACTGTAGGTCCTGCAGAAGTTGGGGTAAGGTAGTTGTGTTAACTAACTTTTTACCTACAGTGATGTTTTTGTTTTTTCTAGTGCAAGGTTTTGGCATGCAAGATGGAGCCCTCTATAAAAAAAAACAGACCTTGCATTTTTAGTGTATGGTTCACATTAAACTTTATCTTAACTTTGCCCATTAAATTATCTTTAATTATAAGCCAGTGTTGGTAACATGATTAAATGTGTTTCATGGCTAAAGTATGGTTTCACTAAGAATTTTTGAGCCATCATTTTGGTGAAATAAAAGTTATTTCACATCACCATGCTGAAAATTGAGAAATGGATTTTAGACAGACTCACCCTTTAAAGTGTAAATCCAGCCAAAACGTTTCAGTAGAGTATGGGAAGGCTAGAATGCCTGTCAGATTTTTAATACTGTGTCCCTAAGTTTTGGTTAGACATACACTTTAGTTCATCTACTAAACAGTTTCTTTAAAGCCTATCTTCGAATGCCAAAAAAAATTCCCCTTGCAGTTTGGCTACTCCAGTACTGTAATGGTTAACTGTTCATTTTTGTCTAGGGGATTCTTTAAAGCAGCTTTACTTACCTGATCCCCAGATGGTCAGCACTCACCTCTCTCCCATCTCTCCAGCTGTGGAATGTCCCTTGGCATCCTTGCATCTACTGCAACACCCTGAACTCTGCATTAGACATGATGATGTTAGCGGGCCTTCGACTACAAGGCTGTGGATACAGGTTTTGGATTCAGCAGGAGCGGTGATCAGGTAAGTAAAACTGCTTTGAAGACTCTCCCTAGACAAAAATGAGCAGGTAACCCTTGTAGTGCGGTAGTAGTCCCAATGCAAGGGGAGTTTTCTTTTTTTATCCAGAGAGAGGCTTTAAAGTGGGCCTTGCAAAATAATGATTTCTGTTTTCCACTTATGTATTTACCATTGGCTACTCAGCTTAATAAATTGAGTGAAATGCCTGTGCGTGGTCAATCTCTGATCTTGATCCCCAAAGTGCATGCTGCTCCTCTCAACTTAGCATATATCTCTATGCCTATCTGTTGACACATCAAGTTACAGCAGTTCCTGTTTCGCTCTATGCTCTATGCCGCTGATCTCTTTTCACTCAAACCTTGGCTCCGCTAAGATGGCTGCTTAGCATGAGTGCTCGGCACCTCGGCAGCCACGACACCTCTCCCCGGCGGCCAGGAGGCCCTGTATAGCCCGATTGAAGTTGTAAGGAGCCGGGATTCCAGTTCGGGTATAGGGGGAATAGATGAAGCTCGGGCTGGCCTGGGGCCGTGTAACAAGGCCGCGTCCTCGGAGCTAGACAGGTGGCCCCTCCCCTCGTTCTGATGACAGCGTAGAGCAGCGCAGGACGCTGTAACCAGATACCCAGCCAGAGGAGTCAGAGAGCAGAAACCTTAATGGATATGCTGAAGTGGGGACATAATCACCTCTAACTGTTGTATGGGAAGACACAGATACAGCAGAGGTAAGCAAACAGTATGGACTGTGATTTAGCATCTGCAATGCTGAAGTACAAGCATTAACTAGAGACTGTCTTTTGAAAATGAGGCTGAAGCTTATGATTGATTACTGATGGATTACTCCATGGAAGCCTGGAAATGATTTTTCTTACTGATGGACAAAGAGTTTATGGGATTGGGTATTATCTTGGCTCCCGTTAATTGTTTGAAGAATCCATTATAGATTTCAGAGACTTTCCCTTCTATATACCTTGCTCCTCCTCAATTAGGAAAGTGGGATAAAATTGAGGAGACTGATTAATATTGGATGAACTGTTTGCCCCTTATTTTAGGACCCATACATATAACTCCAGCAACAACATCTCAATGGCTGGGGGAAGACCTAAAAAATCCAAAAAGCAGTCACTGAAGCAAAGGTCAAAACCCTGAAATCCAAGATGGCTGCAGCACCATCTTCTTCACCCATACAACAGAAACACACAAGAGTCCGTCATAGCGATGTAGAAGATTCTTCTGATTCTATGCATCGGACTACAGCGAGTATAGATTGCTCTGAGCAAAAACAACCTGCATCCACGGTGTCCCTTATTGAGTGCACAATAGAGGAAATACTAGCCACGAAGAGGAATCATCCAGTTGACTATAAGTCTCAAGGAGTACTGCAGGGAGATTATATTCCAGCTGATATAGCAGATGACCATCCCCTGATTATCAAATTGTCCGATATATTATGGATAAGGGGCTAGCCTGCACCGCGAAACAAATTACAGCGGACATCAAAATAGATATACAGGAATTGGGCTCCCGAATAGATGCCATGGAGCAAAAAGTAGATGCTACAGTGGCTTGCACTAACAAAAATATTGTTCAGATTCAAACTATACAAATGCAACTTGAAGAAGCTCTGGCCAAAGTGGACGACCTGGAAAATAGATCCCGGAGATGTAACTTTAGAATCAGAGGACTACCAGAATCTATTAGTGATCTGGAGGCAACGGTCTGACGATTTTTAAAGGACACTCTTCCTGGGATCCCAGATCATAAGCTTGAGTTGGATAGGGTCCACAGGGTGTTCTCGACACCTCGTCAAGATGGCCCAGCTCGAGATGTCATTGTTAAGCCACATTATCTTCAGATAAAAGAAATGCTGATGGTTAAAGTCCGGAATCTTCCTGACCTACAGTACGCATCCCACCCAATACAAATTCATGCAGATATTTCCCCTACTACTATTCAGAAGAGAAGAATTCTAAGGCCCCTTCTTCAAATTTTGTCTAAACATGCTATTAAATATAGATGGGCCTTTCCATTACGGGTGCACTTCTTCTATGAGAATGGGTCATATTCATTCTCAACATTGCCAGAGGGAGAGATGCTGCTATTACAGCTGGGCCTGCGGACAACGGAGACCACACAGACGGGCAAAGCTTCTTCACAAGCTAGATGGAATGGAGGAAGTACAGCTGCCCCGTTATCACCACTTTGGGACCGATCACGTCCACGGTCTTTGGCCCATAAGACCCAGACGTGAAGAGAACCTATAGGGGAGGGAATGACTGGTACTGATAAATATTATAAATATGAGTCCTCTTGAGGGAATAGGGAAATCCTAAGAGGCGAACTAACTTGTTAGCTGTTTTTTGGATGATGTTCCCTTCCCCCTCAAATGTATATGTTGTTCAGGCCAGACAGGGGTTTATTATTACTGTATATAAAAATTTAAATTGGCTTAACGCTGCATACTCATAGCTTGTACTACCGGGCACCACTCTTAGAGGAGGGTGCACGGATTGGGAGTTCCCATACTCGGGAAGATCTAGTTAGGTGGAGGTTAATGGTAGTGTTTGAAGGGCCTGAATAGCGGGCAAACAAGTGAGGCTTAGTATCTTCTGGTAATCACGTTTTGATAATAAAGGCACATCATTAGGGAGATTGGTAGAGTATAAGATTTTTTAATTTTAATTTTAGGACAAGGGGTTTGTGCTCCTTGACGAGCGCCCTATTGGGAGTTAATCACTAAAACACTGAAGGATTTAGGTGCAAATTATGGTAAATGATACTGAAGGAGGTTGTTTCACTTATATTAGAGTTGACACAATATGAATTTGGAGTAAAATGTTATGGATAAATGAAGGGGGGTTAATTAGGTGG